CCTTCCTTAAACTTTTAGACTAAATCTAGAACTGAAAGTTTGGAAGGGACAGGCTCCAGGAAAGCCCCCTTTTAAAAAATGTGCTTCAAGAAGTAGTGTAATATGTCTTTTGAATTATACACTGGGAGTCAGCGTTATAGAGACAACAGTTAACCTTTTTTTTTTTTTTTTTGGTAGACTATCTCATTTAAACTTTTAATTATACAAGAAACAGCATTCTTCCTTCATTGTTCCCAACCAGCTATTTGATGCAAGAAAAATAAATGTGTATATGTGTGCATGGGTATGTGTTGGAAGAAGAAGAGGGAGCAGGAATACTACCTCTATCTGTCCAAACAACTATTGTCATTTCCCTGTTGGTACAAGTCTATATTTGTATTGTCTTTGTTATTATAAATGAGTTCAAGAGATGTGTCAGATTCAAAAGACTTTAGAGTTGTTTTAAAAATATGTTTTTATTGACTTTAGAGAGAAGGGAAGGAAAAGGCATACAGAGATACAAACATTGATCAGCTGCCTCCTGCACGCCCCCTACTGGGGATTGAGCCCACAACCCAGGCATGTGCCCTGACTGGGAATTGGTGACCTTTTGGTTCATGGGTTGACCCTCAATCACTGGACCACTCTGGCTGGGCAAAAGACTAGAGTTTGAAGGCCATTCAATGTAATTTGAAACACCTACATCACTGCTAATCACCAAGTTTTCTTGGTTTGTGTCTTCATATTTAAGCTGCCTACTCTTCTCCATCCCCACCAGCTCTGCCATAATATGCTATTTCTTGAATTACGGCTATTTCTTGAATTACTGCTTTAGTTTACCACATGTCTTCATTTCCTTTAGTTCCCACCTTCTTCCTCTAATTGACACTGCAACCAGAGCGAGCATACCTGAAGACAAATATGATTATGGCTTTCCATTGCTTAAAATCCTCCATGGCACCAAATTACTTTATGTGTAAAATCTAACCCCTTAGCATAGGCAGAGTTGTTCTGTACCTTTGCACTCCCCGTCCACATGTCCTTAGCTCTTTAGGGACTTATAGTTCCCAGAACTTTCCTGAAGCTGTCTGGTTTTTGCATCATAGAGTTTCTGTATTTGGAACATACTTCCCCATTCTTTCCCCAGTTAATTCTAAGTAATTGATCCTTCAGAGCTCAGATTAGGTGTCACTTCTCCTACAAGACTGAGCTGAGGGTGTCTTACATGTTCCCTCTAAATATGTCCCTGACATAGTCACCACCATTCTGTATTTTTATCAAGATTATTATTATTAAATTTTATTATTATTTTACTTCCCTTTATTCTCTCCTACATCATGAGTTCCTGATGGGCAGAGATTGGTCTTCTCTGTTTTCTCAGCAAAGATCTCACCACATAAGTGGTACCCACAAAATAATGAAGTGTAGAGCCCTTTTATGTTATAGTTGAGAAACCAGAATATAGAGTAGATCAGACAATATTTAGAGGCAGAGCCAACCTTTTAGGAGTTGTTTTCCTCAGGAATTATAGACTCAGGTTCTATAAGGGCCAGACAGGCAACATATCAGAAAAGTGGACTGTCTTTTTCAGCAATCATTCTGTCATTTTTCTGGAACATATGCCTTTTTTTTACACTATCTTTTCTATGATAAAGAAACATTTTGGTATAAGAAATATTTTATTTTTCTCTTAAGCTACTATGTAAGAAAGACAGTGTGAAGATGGTGGTTATAATGTGACTTGATGAATTACAGGTCAATGCTGGTTCTTTGTTCCTCTATAAGATTTTGTAAGTAGATAATTGTGACATTTCTCGTTATAGTTTCAGTCTTTGGATTCATGCCCTTGCTGGGTACTGAAAATCTGCTAACCTTTCTAGTTTAATTTCTAGATGTTGAACCCCCCTACTCACATTTATGCACACATATACATACTCTACGCTCCAACTTTACTAAATTGTAGTTCCCCAACATGCCATTTTTAATGCCTCTCTCTCTCTGTCCTTCCTTCCTGCCACCTCTGCTTGAATCAGCCTCAATTCCTGATCGTACATCACCCACTCCCCTCGATAGGTACTGGATGAACTGCTTCCTCAGAACTCTAAGTTCAAAAGGCATAGACTTTCCCTGGGTATGTGTGTGTGTGTGTGTGTGTGTCCAGAGTACACAGCACTTTAGCAAGGATGCTATTCAACTGCCCCATTTAGAACTTGCTTGGAATATATACATATACATATATATATATATATATATATATATATATATATATATATATATATATATATATATATAAAAGCCTAAGTGACTGAATGACCTGTCACTATGACATGCTCTGACCACCAGGGGGCAGATGCTCAATGCAGGAGCTGCTCCCTAGTGGTCAGTGTGCTCCCACAGCCAACCTCCCATGGCCAGCCAGCCCCGATTGGCTCTGATAGGACCAAGTGGCCAATCTCCCACGCAGTCCTTCCCCTGGCCAGCCAACCTCCCGAGGCCTCTCCCCACCAGCCAACCTCCCACAACCCCTCCCTCTCAATCAACCTCCTGTAGCCCTGATCAGCTCTAATCGCCAGCCAGGCCAAGGGGCCCCACTGGTGCACGAATTTGTGCACCAGGCCTCAGTTTTTAAAAAAAATATGTTTTATTGATTTTTTTTTTTTATAGAGAGGAAGGGAGAGGGATAGAGAGCCAGAAACATCGATGAGAAAGAAACATCGACCAGCTGCCCCCTGCACACCCCCTACTGGGGATGTGCCTGAAACAAGGTACATGTCCTTGACTGGAATCGAACCCGGGACCCTTTAGCCAGTAGGCTGACACTCTATCCACTGAGCCAAACTGGTTAGGACCAGGCCTCAGTTTTTTTTGATAAAGTTAAAGCAGAGTCCAGGATTAAATTGTGTGGGTTTTGAATTTTTAGGAGGTAATATACTGCCTTCAGTATAAAATTTGATTAAGCTTGATAACTTTAATGCCATTTAACTCTCTTGGGAAGGAAGAATTAAATTGCTTGCTCTAGAGAATGAATTTTTCCCATTGACTAAGGAATCGAAGATTTATAAATTTAAAATGATCTCGGTGATCTAAGAGAGAGAGAGATGTACTTGTCCCCCCGAACAGAAGCAGGTGCAGGGCATTGTTAACACTTGGTAAAAATTGCATAATTGAGCACCAGGAACTTGTCTGGGATTCAGCTTTCCGGCCCTTGCTGGGTGAGGAGTTATGTGGGACCTGCTGGCATGCTTGAGCAGGGAGCCTAGAGCATTAGGAAGGGAATACCTTTTAGCAGACCTCGGGTACTGAAGAGATTTGATTTAATTTTACATGTTACACATGGTAATCTGGTCTCCCTTGGCAACCTCCAGTTCTGCCCTACTTTATAATCAGAGGATGACAGGGAACACTGCAGACTTGATGGCATCACCTGGAAGTGACTGTTGAGAACAGCTTTTGCCTCAAAAGAAAAGAGAAAAAGGTTACTGAAAAAAGAACAAGTGAGTCAGCCCCCTTACAGAGGGGGCCGGTAAGAGAGTTCCCTATAGCTCAGATACTCCCCCATTGGTGAGGGAAATGGCAGAACTACCCATAGGAGGGCAGTTTGGGATCTGAGGGTCTCTGACGGCTAGTGATGTGCATACTATACTATGCCCATACACTTTCAGAGAGGCCCTGAGTAAGTGGAAGGAGAGATGGAGGGGGTCTGTAGTGCTACAAATGGCATTCGGTTGAGCTAACAAGGCAAAGAAACTATCAAATCAGAAGGCACCGATGAGGCAGATAGGCATTGGGAACAGTTCTCGTTCTTACCTGGCTAGTGATTACTTTATTCTGTTTAGTTCATGCCCAAAGGAAGTAATGCACCTAATGATTCCAAATGATCATAAGTCTTTAGAAGTAGCTAGTGCCTTACTGAAGTTTAAAAGGACAGGGTTCTACCTATGAGCCAGTAAGTGAGTGTGTGTGTGTGTGTGTGTGTGTGTGTGTGTGTGTGTGTGTGTGTTTGTGGATGGGTAGATAGATCAATAGGTCTATAGATATCGCTAGGTTTTGAGGTGGATGTGATGTGGGTGGTAATGACTGGCCAGTGGTAGAGACTACATATGGCATTTTATCGTCTTACGTGTGCTTCTGTCATCTTCACAAAATGCTGTCTACTGAGGCAGCACATGCCATTACCTCTTCTTTTTGAGGTGAAAGCTATGGTAGTCTAATGGCAAACTGAGAAATCTTACTGTCACACACTTACCGCGTAAAGCATTTCGCATGAATTTCATTGAATCCTCATAATGACCATGACTGTGAATTTTAGCAATGTTTTTTCAGTTTTCTATTAATCCTTCCCAGAACATTCTCCCTAACATTTTATTAGGAGAATGTTCAAACACACAATAAAGTGGAAAGAATGAACACCCACATAGCCACCTAGATTCTACATTTGTTATGATTTTTCTGTATTTGCTTTTTTGTTTATCTAGCCATCGATTTATCTACCATCCACATCCGTTTTTGCTGTATTCCAGAGTGAGTTACAGTCATGAGTACCTTTTACTCCTCAGCACATACATGTGGATATCATTCATTAGACATAATTAAAACTGCGTTAGCCCTATTAGAAAACAGAAACAAAACAGGGCCTTCAGTCCTGTGCTTTAGGGACATGGTATGTACTCAGGCACTTTGGGCCTTTCTCTATGCCATAGTGAGATATTTTAAGGGAAAATGTAAGCCAACCCATGTCAAAAAACACTTGTGCCTCATTCATAAGAAACAGAAATCTGTAGGAGGGTGGGGGATACCCCTGCTAAATTCCTAGGGCACAGCCAGCAGCGTTGCAAAGTGGCTTCTAATCTCATTTCTGATTTTATATGAGGTTGAGGTCACTGCCACATTTCTGAACCTTCTCTCCCCAAAGGGGGAGTTTGATTAGCTAATTAGTTAAGCACTTTTGTGATGATATTGGAACTGAATTTCAATAAACATTTTTTCCCTTTTCTTTCTGGGTGTGACTGCATTGCCTACAGCATGCTGCATGGTTGCTGGTAAAACAGGAAATGGGGTAAGTAATTTAGGTAGGGAATTTTTACCACCATTTAAATTAAGCCACCTAATTCTTCAAGTACTTTTAAAACCACCATCTCTTTTTTTTTTTTTTTAGGGTGAGTTCACTGACTACTACTAGAGAATTTGGCACAAAGAAAATTTTCATTGTATAAATTTAGGTGTCAACCTTGTTTAATTGGTTTATTTGCAGATTTTTTTGTAGATTTAATATGAATGTAAATACATACTTTGGAGTCTTTGGCCATTTATATAATGTAGTTTGGCAAGTTATTTTAAGAGAATAAATTTTATACTGATTTATGAAACTAATAATGCTATAAAAGATATAAATTAAAATCCTAGTTAGGGCAGAACAATAGTGAGTTTATATATAGATGAAACACAGAAAACAGGTCCACAGTCCTTCATTGGAAATCCTTCAAGGCAAAATGTGTTGTGGAATTTAGAAATTTTTAGATTTTGAAAATGTAATATGGTGTTATATGTTATAAATACCAAATATAACATACCTTCCCCTCTAGGATCTGGATTGCTACTGTATAATCAAACATTAATACTTCTGTAGTGAAACATGAATATTCACACTAAGTTTCATAAACAAAGTCTCTAAACAGCCTCACGTGTTCAATTTACTGAGCTAAGAAAAAAAAATTTTTTTTCATTTTCCAGAGCTTTTCGGATTTTAACACTGAAATTTTTAGACTAATATAAAAAAGGCCATGTGACTGCTAGAGGTTTTCTGTGTACTCTGAAGAGAAAATTTCAGAGAGAAGTATAGATTTCTGTGTTAAAATCTTGAATTTGGTTAAGTAATTTATTTAAGAAATAATTGATTTTAAAAAATATTTCACATCTACATTTTTCAGGGGGCAATCACCACATATTTATTAAAGGTTTTGGAGTTTGGTTAGGTTATGTTAGATTAATCTCAAATGCTTGTGATTCGGGCATAATAACATTTGATACTGTATTTGAGGAAGTGTTTAGTATAGTCAGAGCATGCTATTTTCTGAATTTTCTAGTTTCCATCCACATTGCTTGAGAGTTGCTCTTGTTATTTCTTATGGAAGGATTTTAAACTAAGCTGATGAGTTCTTCCAAAAGATCCCATTCAAAAATATAGAAAGCACTAATTTTTGTTCTCAGTGTCCCTGGCTTTTTATGTTCAAAAAATTGTGGAATAATTGTCATTATAGAATTGACTCAAGGAATTTAGAAAAAATTAATTGTGTTGGATTCTTTGATCTAGTTGGTTGTCATGCTACATCTATAGCAAAAGTGATTGCAATTGACATCCTCATCAGTAGTTACCTGATAAGAGGAGGGAAATGTGGTTATTAAGTGCTAAATTGGGACTGAATTTAGTATTATACTAATTCTTCTAAAGGACTATCAAGCATATGCTAGGGACCTCTGTAAAAACTAGAAAAGTCATTAGCCACATTCAACTTGCAGGATTGAAAATCTGGCATTTTAAATATTTGCATAAGGTTAAGGTTTCCAACTCTTTCCCCTAGCTCTTTGATCTGGAAGGAAAAACATGCATATAGTTAAAGTTTTTTCACTGGACTGAGAAGCTCTATATATACTTCAAAGGCTATGAAGGATTTAAAATATCAGTTTTCTTAACTACACACTGAGTAATGCTTTCAGGATGGACTTTTGCTGCAACCCACTGTACTTAGAGTATAAGCAATTTTTAAATAGTTTTCCATTCTTATGTTCTCTGTTTCAACTTCTTATTCTTTAAAATGGATTCTCATTTATTATTAACCTTTCAATTGTGATAAATTTTTAATGGAAATATGATTAAACTATTGATACAATATCAAAGATAGTTTTTTAAAATACCTACTTATTTTTTTATATTTAGAAAATTAGAAACAGTGTATGAAGCTCAAACACTTAGAGCTTGAATAAGTTCTTGAATGTGTATTCGCTTTTTAACAATTGATTAAATTTAGCCATTAGCTAACTTATGGTCTTATTTCCTACCTTCACTTATTAGTGTTTTCTTTGGTGTTGAAGAATTAAATTATAATAAACATTGACTATAAGGAGTCATTTCTATCAGCGAAAATTAATTTTTTTTCAATGAAAAATTTTAAATTGTTCCACTTATGAATTTGTTGGTTGATTCTTATATGTGCCCTGACTGGCGATCTAACCCACAACCTTGGTGTATCAGGATGTCACCAACTGGGCTACTTGGCCAGGGTATATCAGTGAACATTAGCCATTTAACTAAATGAGTCACAAGTTGGCCCTTAAATATCTCCTTTGTTAAAAGTAGCTCTGTGAATAGCCATAAGACTGATTTGAGTTTTAATTATATGAATGATGTGGGCCTGTTACTATATTAGTGATACTGCAGTGTTCTCAGCAGAGTAGAGCAGTTTTAATAATATTATACCATGTTTTTCTTTCCTCTTACCTCAGTTCCTTTCTCTCACAATTCTAGTTTACAAGCCAAAGACTAGAAACCATAATTGGGACTTCCCCAAACTTATTTATTTGCTCATGAGTAGATTTTGGGGGAATGTCAGATTCTTATGCAGACATTTATCTGATATTAAGATGGTGAGTATTTCAGAACATTGATACTTTAGGATTTAATATTTCTTCTTCAGCAGTAAAGAAAAAAGTGCAGCTTTTATGTATATTTCCCAAAGTAAGCCCTATTATCAGGAAGAGAATTGATGCAAACAGTTTAGTCTGGATGAGATTATTGTAATATGCAGTTTTGTAGTTTCTGAACAATAAACAATCCTCTCTATCCCATCTTTCTGTCTTCTGATGTATAAATTCTGGAATCTATTTTGGCAATTCTAGCTCAAAAAACTCATTTAGTACACCTTTGTCTCTGGAACATTCTACACTGTCTTTATGCCATTAAAAAACAAAAGCAGTTTCCTGATTTTACTGGAATGTAAGGCCCATGAGCTCATGAATTCTTTGTCTGCTTTGTTCTCTGTTTTTTTTTTTTTGTTTTTTTTTTAAATCTAATGTGTAAAATAGTGCCTAGGACATTGGAGGCACTTAAGTACTTTTTAAATAATTGCATCAACTCTTGCCTTTAGTAGAAAAAGTGAAGTTTTTCATGTCAGTGAATTAATTTTTATGTCATTCAGAAAGCAGAGTCTGTCACTGGGAAGAAATGACATAGTTCAGCTAAAAGAAGCCTACAAATGGATAACTCACCCCCTGTTTTCAGAGGAACTGGGTGTTCCCATTGATGGAAAGGTATTGGGTCATCAGCATTGTTGATTTCCTTCTCTGATTTTACCAATCTTACTTCATTATATGCTGCAGTTTTGGTTAGCCACAAGAATATTCTCTTTAAATAATCCAATGGACCATTTTTAAGCCTTTAAAATGATAATTTCTAACAGTCTTAAACTGAGGTTAAAGTTTCTCTTTCTTTCTTTTTTTTTTTAAAGACTTCTTTGTGATCCAAGACATTTAGGAGTGTAACAGGTGCAGTGTACCCTAATTGACCTTAAGAGGTTAGAAATGAATCTAAGCCTTTAATATATTTTAATTGTAGAGATGGGTTTACTGACACAAAGCAATACATAAATAACTGAGCAAGTATAGTGTGCAGTCTAGGCTATTTAAATTTTGTTATCTGTGGCTAATCTTGTTTTCAAATATGCAGACAGAATCCTCTCAACTACAGTGATCCCGGGCTCAGTCTGTTCCCTTGTTGCTATTTCAAACCCCTCTGTTGAATTTTATGCAGAGACTGCCTTGGAAAAACGAACACTTAACCATTTCCCTATTCCAGAGCCGACCTTGCCTCACGCTCTGGAATGGACTGAATTTTTGGGAAGAGCTAAACAAGTTTCAAGAAGTGGAAACAGGATATATTCCCAGCTCACTTAAATTAAATTGTAATAGTATGGCCTCATCACTTGGTCATTTTGCTTGAAGGAAATTCCCTGAATATCAGACACACCCCCATGCAAGTAAAATCATAAAACAATCTTTCAAAGCTAAATATTTTTTAAAAATCCACTATTCTGAATTATATAGCTCTGTTTCCCTCATTTAGTAAGAATAAACTCTGGCTGTCCTTTAAACTGAATACTGAGAGACTAGAAAATAAAACCCACAGACAGCATGAACAGGAAATGAGGTAATGAAAGTACTTTGGAAATTAAAGTAGTAATTGACAAAAAATATTTTTTACCTCAAGTTTTATTTTTGAAGCACAAATGATTTCTTGTATGTGGACTCAGAACTGAAAATAGAAAACAAAAGATGTAAAAATGTCCTAATAGATTCAGAAGGACGGAAGTTTTCTTGAGTAAAAAAAAAAAAAAAAAAAAGTGTTGTAATCTTATTTTTATTTGGTAGTTTAGAGAGAAAAAAACAACTATTGTGATTCTAGAGTAGATAATGGGCTTGCTAACAATCCTATGTAATCTGTAATGTAGTACTCAATAAAAAAGGTAAGATTGTTGCATGGTATGACATTTCTATTTTTTTCTCAATATGGAATGTTATATATTCTCCATGGTCAATGTACACAGGATGAAATTGTGCTTTCTTGTGTGTACAAGGATGTCTATTTTAGTATTTTTTTTCTCTAAATACTAGAAGAACTTACTACAACTAAATTGTCCAACAGCCCCTAGAGTTAAAAGATGCCCATGACATAATATTCATTGCATGAAGCAGTTATCCAAAAGTATGTTTACTCTCCCAAGAAGTATATATTGTACATTTATGTTTCTATTCATAAGAATGGCTTAAAGGAAACACACCAAACTGTTCCCGGTTTTACCTACCTCAGTGGAGTGGGACCGAAAACCTGCCCTGTATTTGATCATTTTACAAATTGTGTGTATTGCTTTTGTAATAAGACAAAAGATTAATATATCTCTTTTAAAATTCAAACTTACTAAGAAGTTTGAACACCTTTAAAAAGCCTCATACAGAGTTTTTAAGCATGTAAATAAAGCGCTTTTTGCTTTGCTAGTAAGTCTAAATCCTCGTATTGCCTGGAACAGTTCTTCATTTTTTTCAGTTCTCTCTTTCCAACTCCCTGAATTCTCATTCATCTTCAAACATAATGTATTTTCATGTACAAAAGTCAGACACATTGACTTTAAAATTTCTTTCAAATCTGTTTTTTGGTAGGATCACTAGTGGTTGAACTTTAGGAGTTAAAAAAAGGAAAGAGACAATTTCCTCTACAACTGCTCTGTGTACAGGCCGGTCTGAAAATAGTGGTATTTCCGGTTTTCCTTGTCACTCTTTTTCTGAGCCAATCTTTGAGAGTTCATTTCTATTTCCATTCATAAGTTGTTAGATGTTGGTTTCCTTTTGCTCATTTTTAAACTGTCTTTTGTAATTTTCAGAGCTTGTTTGAAGTGAGTGTGGTCTTTGCTCACCCAGAAACAGTGGAGGATTGCCACTTCCTGTAAGTTGCCGCATAAACAACAATGCCAATTGTATAGCATTGTTAATGCCTTCTGGTTTTCATGAAAATAGTATTGCTCCTCTTTCTAATGAGTATATCAGAATTTGTCATGCCCTAGTAGGTTTAAAATGTGCCCCTAACATAAGGTCTAAGGGAAGGGGGGGCGCACACACACGCGCACGCACACACACACACACACACGGACTTTTTTTTCCTTCTAAGGGCTATTTGGATATTTATAACATTATTCACAGGCCATACAAAATTATCAACTTAAAAATTAGATGGCTGTCTTTGGTCAGATATTTAACGAACTCACCCCTAATGCCTTGGCAGGGCCAGACCAAGTGATTTAACGGGCCACAGCCTGGACATTATTTTGACTGCTCTTGATATCCTGAGATGAATAAAATATGTTTGAATTATATTCACGGCAAAATAAACTCATTAATCTTTTATATTAACTTGAATTTTACCTAGACGTGCAATATGCCCAGATTGCTTCAAGCCAGCCAAAAACAAACAGGTAAGGGTTCCTGGTTCTTACTCTTTAGTGAGTTTAGTCTGAGCTGATTATTCAAATTAGAAACAAAACAAAACAAAAAAGGTATGCAATAGGAATGTGGCAGTCTATTTTACTAAGAATCAGTCTTTAATTCTTTCCATTTGCTATGTTTATTTTTATTCTTTTTGGCTCCCAACACCTTTGCCTCTGGCCAGAAAGTCATAACTACACTCATGGTTGTGTCATCATTTGGGTTGTTACCCTCTTGTTGGTTTTAGAACCAGGGTTTCGATGAAGTTTCTGTTAACCGTTTGGGAAAATTTGAACTTATAGATTTTAATTCCCAAAATGACCTCATCTGGGAAAATCCGTGGTAAACTCAACAGCATTCCAAACTTTTGTCTAAGATCTATTTTCTAGCAATTGGTATTTTAAAAATATAATCCAAAGTGGATTATTTTATTGTACTGAATTAATAAATACTATTTCAAGCTATATGACCAAAAAGGGTATATTATTCAAACTCCCCTTTACTGTCTTATGTGAGCTGGTCTTCATGTTCATGAGTAAATTAGTTGGTATTTACTTTTAGTTTCTATTATACCAGGATAGAATGGGATGGCATGATATCAGCACTTTCATGTCCCAGTTACTTAGCTGGTTTTGTGCAGGCTCAGGCATTCCTGAATGTCTGACATCCATTTTGCTGTTCTGGTTGTTAAAAAGAATGTAAGTTTATTGTCAAAAATACTCCATTTGACCTTCCTCTTGCTTTGACTACTAATTGCCAAGCCTTTTAGAACTGGTTGGTGGGACAGAAGGGGGTTGGGGGGGAGGAGTGAGTTGTAACATTTGCTGAATGCTCTGGGCAGAAATGACTAGAAATGCAGACCACACCTAAAGTAGCACTTCCCGACCTTTCTCATGTCATAGTGCACCCAGAACACGGCCATGTTTGTTCCGCAACCTGAGGTTAACAGATGAAGTTGCTCTAAGGTGGAAGCAGTAAGCCTGGTGCTTCCACTGTCCCAGGCCCTGCTCCTCAGCCCATCATGTTACAGAAATCCGGAGAAGAACCAAGCAATACTTAGAGAGATGGAGTTACATTTATTACTCGCAGGTCCAGAGGAAAATGTCTTTCAAATTCTGGGCCCCAACATGGAGGAACTTTCCCTATTTATATGTTTTTACCTTCTCTGTCTCCCAAATATAGGGTGTTTCCAGCCCCCTTTTGCAAGTTCTTAAAGAGCCCCTGTGTGCTGGGGCCTTGAGACCTCAACCAAAGGCCTGGCCTGGTGCCAGCACTGATCATTTTGTCCCTTTAATGGCCTCTCTGAAGTGGGAGTAGTCTTATTTTCCTTATTATTTAAGCAAGCATTACAGAAGCCAAATAGCAGGGTTAAAATTTCAAGCAGCAGTGTTTATCTAAGATGGGTGCTTCACTATGAACTACAGGGATTGGAATCTTGGCACAATTGTAGCTCACTGCTTTGCCATATCAATTGGGAAATTCTGTCCGAGTAACCTGTAAGCCACATTTATATTGAAGATCTAAGTTTATTTTTTGTTATCTTTGAGGAAATATACAAGTATCAGCATCAAATAATAATAAGATAGGAAATTCTTGTCAAGCATCACAGACACCACACCATTTGGCTCATTGGTCCTGTATAGTTTTAACTGTAGTCCCTGCCATGTGGCTGGTAGTAAGTAGAGTGACCTTAAGAGATTCAGGCCTAGAATTTCCAATCTGAACAAACAGGCACTTAATTTTCAGCTCTAACCCTGTGACACGTTGGGGTTCCCCAGGATGTGATTTAGAAAATCATGGCCTTGATGATAAACTGTTGAGATGTCTACAATCCACCCCTTTTCAGCAGTCAAGTGTCATTTCTCATAACAGACAAAATAATTGTGATTTCTCATAGTAAGCCAAATATAGTAATTGGGTCTAGTATGTCTACCATATGACTTGGCTTTTCTTATTTAAAAACCCCTAAGTGGGACATTTGTTGTCGATGCCCTCCTATTCAGTATCGTGGATCTGTTTTACTTTGTGGCTTCTGAGTGATGTTGAGTTGCTAGATGCCAGAGCAGGCTGGTTGGCTCTGTTCTACCCCTTAGCCTGGCAACCAACTCCTAAATTATGTACCGTAGCCTCTGCAGGGATATAAGGAAGAGGAGGTAGATGAATCGACCTAAATTCCTTTCGAGCCTGTGAGAAGATATTCCAAGCACACTTCCTGCAGTGCCATCATTTTTGTATCGAATATTTGAAGAATGCCACGCTTTGAGGGGAGTGGGACCATGGGGCAAAGAAGACACGTTCTGCTCGGTCTGCTGGGTATTGCAGACAGACTGGACTGAGGGAGAAGGGCTGTAGGAGTATAGTGATTGCAGAAGTGACCATATGAACCCTTGTACATGTTACTTATTTTCTTCAAGCGATTGAGTATTTCTTCCTTGTAAGTATGGTTTAAAATGGTATAATTTCTCCAACCCTGTTCTGTGTTTCACCTCTGACGTTTTCTCATCTAGCTGATAAAATGCCTTTTCTTTTCATTTTACCCTATGCAGTCAGTGTTCACTAGAATGGCAGTTATGAAAGCTTTGAATAAGATAAAAGAAGAGGATTTCTGCAAGTAAGTAGAAACATGGAAACGAGAAAGCATCATGGGACTTTAGAAGAAAGGGAACGGTAGCGAGAGTTTGGGTTGTCTCTCAGACAAGACTGGAGGTATTTCAGGGAGCAGGATTGTGCCTTAGTCATCCTTCTATCCCCAATCCCGGGCTCGCTACCTAGCATGCAGTGGTGTTCAATAAATGTTTGTCAAATAAATTTGAATTTATGAGTCAAGTCCAACTTCTTCATCTTATAGAAAAGGATGTTGCTATTCATAGAGGGAATTGACTTGCTTATTATTTCAACCGGGTAACAGAGTAGTGAATTTAGAGCCAGGTTTCCTCATTCCCCAGTTCGAGTCCTGCATTTTGTAGTATCATCCATCTCCAGAAAAGGGAGAAAATATGCTGGAATACAATAAGCCTTCTATTCCAATCCTCAGTGCGTTTATTTTATTTAATAAAATGTTATAGTTTATCCTTCTAGGATATCCTTGAATAAATTTCAAACAATCAAGTTACGAGGAAGTTTTCCTATATTTCACTGACTAAAAATGAGTCTCACAATGAAAATATTTTTAAATATACATATATTTTATTGATTTTTTACAGAGGAAGAGAGAGGGATAGAGAGTTAGAAACATTGATGTGAGAGAAACAACCATCAGCCGCCTCCTGCACACCCCCTTCTGGGGATGTGCCCACAGCCAAGGTACATGCCCTTGACCGGAATCGAACTTGGGACCTTTCAGTCCACAGGCCAACACTCTATCCACTGAGCCAAACTGGTTTCGGCCACAATGAAAATATTTGTATTAAGTTTTTTAAAGTAAGGACAGTTACTCTCGATACGCAATAGTTCTTGAGTTCCTAAGTGATTTTTTTGTGGAGACATATTGGGAAATGGTGTGAAACTTTCAAGACAAACATTTTGTGTGAAGTCCAAATCTAGTCACTGACAGGGATATGCCAGTCCATGGCTTTGGAGGTTCCCAGGAGGCGGGCAGAGATGAAAACCATACGCTGCCCTTCCCTGCCTGTTCTCCGGTGAAGTTTCCTGCTAAAAGGGCAGGATGGAAGCGTAACCATTCCACTTTTTCTAACTTTTTGGTCTGATTCCAAAGGTCACAGTTGGAATGAGAAGGGAAAAAAGTACCCTTCCCGCAGGTGTGACCAATCTCAGTGCACACCACCTTGACCCAAATGCTTGAGGATTTTTGTAAGCCAGCAGCAGTGTTCAGAGGCAGCAAAATGGCTAAAGAATCTAGAGAGGCTTCTACTTCATGTATGCGGGTTTTTCTCCCAAATTTCAAGGCCATTGGGATTATCATCAGGAGCATGAGGCCTCCTGAGTGCAGACCCCCTCAGTGACCCTCTCCCGGAGGAAAAGACACGTGTGGATTCTAAACTGGAAGTCAAGGGGAGTCTGAGTCCTTGAGAGACTCCGGCCTGTGTGTCTGGAACAACGATGACTCATTGCCATGGTTCATGATCCTGTCCGGAATATAGTAGCTATAAAATTTATTTTGTTTTGCAGGCAGTTCCCTTGTCCTCCAAACTCACCAAAGGCCGTATGCACTGTTCTTGAAATGGAATGTGCTCATGGTGCTGTCTTCGTGGCTGGTAATATTTTTATTTTTATTTTTTATTTATTTTTATTTTTAATTTTGTTCTAATATTCTGTAGTGACTACATGCTCCTGACCCAGCAGCGGTTTGGGGAGCAGCCACTAATTTGGCCAGTTTTATTTATTTATTTATTTATTTATTTATTTATTTATTTATTTATTTATTTATTTTATTCCTAGTTAAGCCTAAGCCTAAGCCTAGTTAAGCCTAAGCCTAAGCCTAAGCCTAGTTAAGCCTAAGCCTAAGTCTACGCCTAGTTAAGCCTAAACCTAAGACTAAGCCTAGTTAAGCCTAAGCCTAAGCCTAAGCCTAAGCCTAGTTAAGCCTAAACCTAAGACTAAGCCTAGTTAAGCCTAAGCCTAAGCCTAAGCCTAGTTAAGCCTAAGCCTAAGTCTAAGCCTAAGCCTAGTTAAGCATAAGAATAAGCCTAATTAAGCCTACACCTAAGCCTAGTTAAGCCTAAGCCTAAGACTAAGCCTAGTTAAGCCTAAACCTAAGCCTAAGCCTAAGCCTAGTTAAGCCTAAACCTAAGCCTATTTAAAAAAATTTTTAAAAAATTAAATTATTATCTGTGTACATATACCATTGCCCCCCTTCCATGCATGCCCTCCCTCCCCAGAGTTTTGTGTTCATTAGTTGTACTTATGTGCATATATACAAGTTCTTAGGTTGATATCTTATCTACTTCAGATCTCCCTCCCCTCCCCGCTATAATTTGACAGTCTGCTTGTTGCTTTACTGTCTCTATATCTATCTTTTGGTTCATCAGTTTATAATGTTCTTTATTATCCATAAATGAGTGAGGTCATGTGGTGTTTCTCTTTCATTGACTGGCTTATTTCACTCAGCATGATCTCCAATTCCATCCAGGTTGCTGCAAATGATGAGAATTCCTTCTTTTTTATGGCAGCATAGTATTCCATTGTGTAGATGTATCATACTTTTTGGATCCAGTCATCTGCTGATGGGCACCTAGGCTGTTTTCAAATCCTAGCCATTGTAAATTGTGCTGCTATGAACATAGGGGTGCATATATCCTTTCTGATTGGTGTTTCTAGTTTCTTGGGATATATTTCTAGGAGTGGGGTTACTGGGTCAAATGGGAGTTCCATTTTCAGTTTTTTGAGGAAGCTCCAAACTGTTCTCCACAGTGGTTGCACCAGTCTGCATTCCTACCAGCAGTGCACGAGGGTTCCTTTTTCTCCGCAACCTCGCCAACACTTGTCGTTTGTTGATTTGTGTTCTGACAGGTGTGAGATGGTACCGCATTGTTGTTTTGATTTGCATCTCTCAGACAATTAGTGACTTTGAGCATGTTTTCATGTGCCTCTTGGCCTTCCTTCTGTCTTCTTTTGAGAAGATTCTATTTAGATCCATTGCCCATTTTTTTGGTAATATTTTTAGTCTAGACTATACTTACACTGCCAACCTGCTCTCCTTTCTGAAAAAACTCAGCTGACTCCTCCTCTCTTTCCTTCTTGTTACTCGATTCTGATTGGTTAACTCTTTGAGAACTAGAACTGATAACGAGGCTTATTTTAGGTTATATAAGTATTCAATCGGGAGATTTGTTATTTAGAATGCCATGCCGGAAGGAAATGACACTTCCCAGGTCATAACAGTTTTCATCAGAGTTGGCTGAGTGGAAATATGAGTAGATGTCGAGACCCAAAACTGGTCAGAAGAAACACAGCTGTGGAGAGGATTTTTTAAAATAACATGAACACAAACTTGCAAAAATAATTTTATTATCTGCAAAATGACTAAACAGTTGGCTTTTGCTTGAGATGAAGTTGTTGCAATGACTTTCCCAAGGGTAATCTAGCAGACAGTTTTTGTTTTGAAAGCTACAGCTATTTTGTAGTAATAGCTGAGACAAAATTGATATTTAGTTCTGACTATTGAGTGAAATGAGGTAATGAAAGCTCCCTTCCTTAGGGGAGCTTTATTCATAAACCAGTGAGTCATATTCTGTTAGGGTTTTTTTTTTTTTTTAAGTATAAAAACTTCAAAATTTCCTTTGTTTGAATTCTTTGGAATATATTATCACCAATGACTAGTACATTGAAAGTGTTATTAATCAGCTGTAAAAACAATAGTTGTTTTCTTAAAAAAAAGAAAAAAAAAAAAAGAAGAGATCCTCGGTATGTTCTGTAATAATACAACCTGTTTTGTCAACCAGTCAGATTAATAAATATATTGAGCATTCCTTTAGAACTCACTTAATGATTCATATTATGTTGTTAGCCATCTCTTCTATTGTTACCTTCACTATTATCACTTAATTACCTATTTGTCTATACGTTGGTTCCTCAAAGTAGATTGTAAGTTAATTGAAGGCTAAACCTTGTTTTATTTATTTATTTTTGTATTATTATTATTATTATTATTATTATTATTGCTATGCCTTGTTTTATATCATAGGGTATTGGCATGCAATAAATAGTTGCTGCTTTTTTATTTTATTTTATTTTATCCTATCGTGTTAATTCCATCATCCCATCCAACTACCTCCTATTTCTCTGGCAGGGAGATATAATAAATACTCCAGGAATCTGCCACAAACTCCTTGGATAATTGACGGAGAAAGGAAGCTGGAATCTTCAGTGGAAGAGTTAATTTCAGATCATCTTCTGACGGTATTCAAAGCAGAGAGTAAGTGTGACATTATTCACATTTTAAGTACGTTGTCCTTCATGAACAGACTTCTCGGAGGCAGCAGGAAAGATTGCTGGGTTTCGTAAATCACCACCAAGTCTAGGCCTCTGGCCTGGCAGCTTCCTGTAAACAGGCCTGGCCATGGCTGAGCTCCTCTGACCGAGGCTGGATGTGGGCCAAGGTGCCAAGGATTTCTTTCCTTTTTCAAAATGACTGCCCTTTCCTGGAAAAACTCAAAACAATCAAAATGACTTTAAACAAATGCACATACGCGCTGACCTTGGGACACCTCAGCTTTGACCTTGGCATACCTCAGCTTTGACCTCTTTGGTGGAATTTGAGGAAATTAAAATGCAGCTTGCCCATTCAGTGCTAGACAGATGCCCGGCTTCCATCGTAGTCACTAAAATGTCCTGGGGAAAAGTTGAAGCCCAGAGAAAACAAACCAACAGCTACCATTTCACAAAGACTTAATGGGAGTCATGTTGTGTTTTAATTCCATAGGCATCAAGGAGCCCAGGTTTGTGGGATGAGTCAGATCCTGGCAGGTTTAGTTTTCTTTGTCTCGATAGGCCTGTTGGGTCAAAGGCAGTGGAAAGCCTCGTGATTTCACCGAGGAGCAGACTAGTGGGAAGGGGCTGAGATTTCAACCACAGGAAATCATGTACGTCAGGAAAAACTGTGGGCAGTACGTCCATCACTCCTGAAGTGGGTTTCCTGGACACCTTTTTTGAGGGATCCACTCAACGTCCATCCTTCTCTCTGAAACACCTTAAAACAAGCTGCTTGCTGTAGGAATGGCAGGCAGTGGCTGAGATGACATATGACTGTCCCTCCTGCTCTCTGCTTGTAAAGAGAAGCACTTCAAACCCCACCCCTCTTAGAATTTGTTGCCCATTATAGAGAGCAGCCCTCTTTTTTTTTTTTTTTAAATATAGATTTTATTAATTTTTTACAGAGAGGAAGGGAGAGGGCTAGAGAGTTAGAAACATCGATGAGAGAGAAACATTCATCAGCTGCCTCCTGCATACCCACTACTGGGGATATGCCCGCAACCAAGGTACATGCCCTTGACCGGAATCGAACCTGGGACCCTTCCGTCCACAGGCCGATATAGAGCAGCCCTCTTTTTAAGGGTCTTTAAAGAATTGTTTAACTGAGTGAAGAAGAAAGTAACCTGGCAAACCGGTATTTTCCAAAATCTTAGCAGTAACGACTCTGGGTTACATCATGAGCTTTAACCTACTGAATCTAACATTCGCACACTGGCTGTCTTATAAAACTTACCCAAGTTGTGAAGCAGTGAAGATACAGCTTTGGCACAAAAAGTCTCTTTCAAACTTTTTTGGGGCCACCTCACCCTTTTTCTGTAAGATGCAAGAAGCTTCCAATTCTGATGCTGTGGGTCCCCAGGAAGCTCCCGCCATGACCAGGGCTGCCGGGGGCTCTGGAGCAGGGGCGTGTGTCACCTTGCCATCTTCCATGAAGGCTCTCCTTGGTCACTTTCCATTGGAAGAGGAAAATCGGTCCCCAACCTGGAAATAAGTAAAACTGTGTGTTTAACATAGATGGCTGTGTGCCGAGGACGTTTATGGAGAGCCACTTAAGAAAAAGCGTATTTTTGGAGGCCTCTGTGCTCATTGGCTTCTTGTCAGGATAAAACCTTGTTGTTTGAAAGGCCTGAGTGATAGCATCGCTTTTTGTAAACCCCTGCTTCTCAGATAAATTACCTGTTATTTCTGTGGTTCACCTCCAACAGCTCAGGGAAGATGGTTCTGACTACGGGGCCTCCACGTTGCACAGCTCTCTGACCATAAGCCGGAATTGCACGAAGCAGCCTAGCCACTTCCAGAAAGGTCCCTTCCCCAAAATGGGACACACAAACTTGTTTTTCTCAGTCCCTTCAGGTCATGCACTTGCTCATTCCCTAGGTCATGAGTAATAAACTTGAAACAGTCCCCAAAATCAATGTGTCTAAGAAAAACTTTCCCCTAACACATGTATGATGTCGCTCAGTGAGTAAGTGTTTGTCATGTTGGTTCCCTGCTGAAAACTGATCGAGGACTGAGCTCCAGGATAAAGTCCCAACCACTTCGCTTGATATCCTCACTCCGTGGTCAGCGAACTGCGGCTCGCAAGCCACATGCGGCTCTTTGGCCCCTTGAGTGTGACCCTTCCACAAAATACCCTGGTTTGGGCGCGTCTATTTTGAAGAAGTGGCGTTCGAAGAAGTTTAAGTTTAAAAAATTTGGCTCTCAAAAGGAATTTCAGTCGTCGTACTGTTGATACTTGGCTCTGTTGGCTAATGAGTTTGCCGACCACTGACCCATCTCATGGTGTTAACCCATCTCATGGTATTCGAAGCGTTTAGAATAATACCTCTCGTGTGCATGTGGCTGTGGGGATGATGATGAAATCATTAGTCAGTTCTGTTTCTAAGAGAGTTGTCATGTGATGCTCCTCCCCCCACTTTTTTTTTTTTTTTTTTTTAAACCACTTCCCATTTCAGTGTTTGCAGCTTTTGGTCTGTGATGACCCATTGATCTTAAAATGAGTGCTAGTTTTGTCATGGTTCCAGCTTAGGTTTGCTTATATAATGAATTTGCTTTAGAGTCAAGTATTTCCTCCCTCCTTACCCTTTCATAGGGTTTAATTGTCAAATAAATGTTTTTGTTTTGTAAGGAAAAGAAGGAAGTAGATGATAGATCTTTCACCATAAGTTTGGCCAGGGTGGTGGCTGGGGGGGGGGGCGCCAGAGGAGGGGGGGGGTTTCCTCCAATCCATGCTCTGTGTTTGCCTTTCCTGTGAGATGGAGGTGGGGGATGGTGGTTAAGGTCTGGCCTTGACACTGGAAACAAGTAGCTCTGCCATTTAAATTGTGACCTTGAGAAAAGTACTTAACCTTTCAGAAGCTTGGTTTTTTTGTTTTGTTTTGTTTATTCTATCTCACCAGGTAGAATAAAATGAAATAATGTATGCACTGCCTGGCATATAGTAAGTGCTCAATAAAAAGTGTTTATTATTATTATTATTGTAATCTTTAGGATGGAATTAGAGGTGGGATGATGACTATCCTTTGGGATTCCCCTGTAAATTATTCAAGAAAAATTGGGTTTCGCCGAAACCGGTTTGGCTCAATGGATAGAGCATCGGCTTGGGGACTGAAAGGTCCCAGGTTCGATTCCGGTCAAGGGCATGTACCTTGGTTGCGGGCATATCCCCAGTAGGTGGTGTGCAAGAGGCAGCTGATCGATGACTCTCTCTCATCGATGTTTCTAACTCTCTTATCTCTCTCCCTTCCTCTCTGTACAAAATCAATAAAATATATTAAAAAAAAATTGGGTTTCTACCAAAGGGTAGGAATGGAAGTCTTAGGATTATTATTTCTCTGATTTTTTTTTTCCTTCTTTATCTGCTTTCTTTAGGTTTTAATTTTTCATCCTCTGGAAGAGAAGATGTAGATGTGAGGACATTAGGAAATGGTAAGATTGCAACATATCACTTGACTGGAACTTTCAGATTATCACTATAGTTTACGGTAGTCACTTACTCAAAACCAAAGTGTGTGGAGCCCAGAGCTTCTTTCCAAGTGAGAAAGCTTTGTGGACTATGGAGCTATCTTTATAAATTATATAATTGTTAAGTTTTAACAGGAGTCCTTTCTTCAGAGGCCATTTTTTTATTGCATGCCTGTAGGTTACAGGGGACTTTTATGTGCATTCGGAAGGAGGTGCCTGATTTCCCCAAAAAACTTTGATTGTTAATTGTTCCACTGAATAGCATCTCAGCAGGACAAGTACAGTTTTTAAAATGCACATCTTCGTTTAAAAAGTGATTCTGCTCTTTTAGCCTTCATTTCTGGTTTTACATGGTTTCATTACAGGAATAATGAGAGCTATTTGAGACTTATCGATCCTTCCTCTCGTAGAATCACAGCTTTTCTGTTTCATGAGAGGATTAAGCGAGGACGGATTTCAGCGAGGCTTACCTGTGGCTGCATGTGACATAGACTGTAGTGTGACCAAGTCTGTCAGTGGTCGTTTGGATTTTATTTTGTAATTCACACAGGCTTTTTTTTTTTTTTTTTTTAATATATTTTATTAATTTTTTACAGAGAGGAAGGGAGAGAGATAGAAAGCTAGAAACATCGATGAGAGAGAAACATCAACCAGCTGCCTCTTGCACACCCCCCACCGGGGATGTGCCCGCAACCAAGGTACATGCCCTTGACCAGAATCGAACCTGGGACCTTTCAGTCCGCAGACAAACGCTCTACCGCTGAGCCAAACCGGTTTCGGCTTGCTCCTGGACCTCCGGGAAAGCAGTCTCTTTCACATGTTGCCCATACTGGGGTTTAGCAGCCTCCAGAAGCCCCTTCACGCTTTTCACACATCCTCCCCTCCCCAGAGGTAGCTGAACTTTCAGTCCTCTAGGGCTCACCTCGTGTTTCACACCTCCTAACCCTCTTGCATCCGCCCGACTGTTAACTCCCTCCACGCGTTTCTGTTTCATGGCGGGCGTGTGCTGCAGGAAGGCCCTTTGCAATCGAGCTGGTGAATCCTCACCGAGTGCGCTTCACGGCACAGGAAATGAAGGCGCTTCAGCAGGTAAACCACTTCATGGCGTGGGGATCGTCCTGCTGGTGCCCCTCGGTGACTGACCTGGAGCTGCTAATTGCTTTTCTTTTTCTGCTGCTACAGAAAATTAATAGCTCGTCCAACAAAATCCAAGTCCGTGACTTGCAGCTGGTCACAAGGTACGGGTAGGCTCACCGGAGGTCATTTCAAAAGCATGTATCTTTTCAGAGCATAGATCTGATAAGGGAATTATATCCAGAATATATTCAGACAAACGTTGCTTGCTTGCTTTATTTATTTATTTGTTATTTATTTTAGAGAGGCAATAGGACATATGAAAGAAGGTGAAGAAGAAAAGACCAAGACCTATAGTGCCTTAATATGGACAAACAAAGCCATACGGAAGGAAGACATTGAATTTCTAAATGACATGAAGGTAGCTAAGTACCCTGATTCTCCTTGTTTTATTTTTCTACTGCCTATAACAGAGTCCTTTGTCTTTTCGTTTGTTTACCCGCAAATCATAGAGCATGGGCATTGGGGACTGTGAGGCTTGGTTTCCAATCCTGGCTCTGCCACTTCTTAGCTGAATGACTGGGCATTTCATCGAACCCGCCTGAGAGGCAGTCTTGCTGGTGATGAAGAGCCTGTGCCTGAGGACAGATGCCTGGGCACAAACCCTGGGTCTGCATTTCTTAATTGTGTGACTTTGGACAAGTCACTTAGCCCCTTTAATTTCTCCGTCTATAAAATTAGAATTAAATGAGTTTAGTCCCATAAGTCACCTAGAACAGTATCTGACACATAGGAAACAGTCAGCAATGCTACTATTGTATTTGGCCTCCTGTACAAAAGAAACTTAAAATACGTAAAACATGTTATAAATAAATAGAACAGCATAATGGTAGAGCACATTTTGTGTGTGTGTGTGTGTGTGTGTGTGTGTGTGCCCCCCATGCTAAGTTTTCCTTCACATGAGCATGCCATTATAATGGGTCTTCCAGTTCATTTGAATATTTCTTCCCATTCGCCCCTACCTCTTCCTATAAAGATAATCTACTTTCACACACAAGAAATGAGAATAAATGGGCACAAACATGCTGATACGTAGTTATCAGGACATTATTTGCCTGGGCAATACTTTGTAATAATCTGATGACCTGCTAGAGGGGATTGGTTTAATCTTATGGCTTATCTGATGAGGGACTATGACTAGCCAGCTGTTAGAAATGATGTGGTAGATGAGTATTTGTTGACAAAATGGAAATGATCCTGACAAATGGTAAGGGGAGAAAGCACACACACTCAGTGTGTGTACACATATGTATAACTATGTAGAAAACAAATCGGCAAAAGATATGCTGAGTAGGATTTATACTTATGAAAAATACAAACCCCAATAGAGAAAAAAGACAAAGAATACGAACAAGCAGCTGAAAATAAGAGCAACTCCAGATGGTGAAGAACCACTCAAAAAGATGTTCCCCCATAAGACCATCACTTTGCTCCTCTGAGACTCAGAGCACCTGTTGATCGGGTCCGAGGAAAAGGCTTGAGCACACAGTCAGTAGGAATGTAGAGTGTTCCAGCCTTTTTGGGAAAACCATGTGGCAGTGACTGTAAACATTAAAAATAAACTGGACTCCTACCCAGCACATCTACTCCTGGCAGTCTGTTCTGAAGAAATAAAATCCCAGCGCTTAACGATGTGAGTATCAAGGATATTCGTTCAATGTGGCAAACATTAACAATAACAAAACTGGACACAACACGAATTTCCTTTAGTAAGGAAACAGTAGAACAAGTTGGAATATGATATAGCCTTTAAAAAAAAAACTAAAATAGAAAAAAAAGATAAAGGAAGGTCTATCTCTATGACTTGCAGGAGCACCCATGGCATGATGGGAAAAAAAGTGAGGTGCAAAATATTGTTTGTAGGCTGAGTGTTTTGGTGAAAACGCACCTGCTTATAGAAGTTGATCTGTATGATCAGGGCAGACGAAACATGCCCCGCTCTCAGGTCCTGTGAGTCTGTGGTTAAGGCCTTTTGGCTTTTGGCCCTGTTATCGAGGGCCTTCGGGATGATAGTTGTAGCATAGATGGCTATCTTTAAGATTGCAGAATAAATCGTTAAGCCTCTGTTTCATGCCATGTGTACAAGTCATTCAGAATGCTGTGGGGAAAGTAAACTCATTTGAAAAATAGATTTAGAGTTGGGACGAGGTGGCTGTAGAATTAATTCAGAAGTATTGCCGAAAGGTAATTTTTATAGGTACAGCTTAAATAGTTAAAAGGTCTGTTTTAATGATCCACAGCCCAACTGGACTGTTGGGATCAGAGACTACGTGACTTCTGATAAATTTAAAATTTATATATATATTTTATTGATTTTTCACAGAGAGGAAGGGAGAGAGATAGAAAGTTAGAAACATCGATGAGAGACAGACATCCATCAGCTGCTTCCTGCACACCCCCCATTGGGGATGTGCCCGCAACTAAGGTACATGCCTTTGACTTGAATTGAACCTGGGACCCTTCAATCCACAGGCCGACCGACACTCTATCCACTGAGCCAAACCAGCTAGGGCCTGATAAATTTTTAAGTGTTAGAGTTAAAATAGTTTTCAAGTATTCCTGTTGGTGTAAACAATATAAAAACAGAGGTATTACCCCATTCTGAGAAAAAGTCACTTCAGACTTATTACTCTTCTCTTTTTCTAAGGGCAACCTACTTCCAAGGAGGAAAAATCATTTGTGTGTGTTTCTGAACATTCAGCAGAGTGTAATGTTGGAGTAGGTGATTGGTTTCCTTTTGCTGCTAAAAATAGTCAGACCAAAAATGACACATGAGTGTGTGTTGATCTGAGTGTTATTGTAGAGGTATTTCCATTGACTGGCTCACGGGTCAAAGCCCTTGGAGTGACGAAAGTTATGGAAACGGCAATGAGTATTCATTAAACAGTTGCTCATTTAAAGGTACTCTAAAGTAGAGGCCACATCGTTACAGATTCCTTAAAAGTTCTGCCTTGTCCTTCTTTTGGTCTTACTGGCCAGAGAACAAAACTGGAAACAAAATGAATTTCCTTTAATAAGGAAATGGTAGAACAAGTTGGAATATGATCTAACTACTTAAAAAAAACAACACTAAAATAGAAAAAAAAAGATAAAGATAGGTCTACATCTATGACTTGCAAGAACAAATCTTATGAATGTCAGACCTTCTGAAGACAGCTTATCTTGTCAGAACAAAGTGCTATTAACATGAAAGAATTATTGAATCATCAAGCCCATGACTTAGTCACAGGGATTTAAAGGATAGGAAATAGAGTTGATAATTTTATGATAACTGTGTATGGTGCCAGGTGAGTACTAGACTTATTGGGGGGACCACTTCATAAGTTATATAAATCTCTAACCACTGTGCTGTACACCTGACACTAATATAAAATTGAATGGCAACTGTAATTGAAAAAAAAAATAAAATGGGAAAAAAGCCCTCTGAGTAAGGAGGGGCCATTGACTCATTGCTCTGATAAAAGCAGTCACACAACTCAAAGTGTAGTTGTTAGAACTTGTTCTTTTCTTTCTTGGTGGAGAACTTGATGGGGGTGGCGGGGGGGGGGGGGGGGTTGGACCAGACCAAAATATTTCTTGGTATGGCTTCAGGCACTCTTATCATGTAAATTAGAAAGGAGTTGTTCCAACAAGAAATGGCAAATGGCAGAGGACTCAAAGTTGTTATGAATCTACATTTCTGGTTGTACCCAATACTTATTTTTAAAACTTGGAATTAGTTTGCTTTTTATAATACTAACCTCTGTTTCTTCATTTATATCTTGTGACATGAAAGAAATTCTCTAATTGTGAGAAAAACAAGCCTGTGTCCCTAAAAAAAAATCTGAATTGTAAAAAGACATGCAGTATTGTTATTCTCAAGTAGCTTGACTGAGCCCAGAGTAAGAGGTTGTGGTTTATTGCACATTCTCACTTGTCATTATTATGTGGAAATACCAGCCTAAAATTATGATGCAACTGCTGATTTTTCAGAAAGGACATTCTTTCTGATTTTCTTGTAACCAAAAAAATAACCCTGAGTAGGTGTACAGTTCTATCTAACACATGCACACTGCCTGTACACACAGGGAGGCTGAAATCCCGCCTTCAAAAACTGCCATTTCTCACCCCAGCCTGAAATCTCCACTACTAGGTTATTTTGTTGGGTTAGGGAAAAAGCAGTAAGAATATGCCTTCTAGAAAAGCTGTTTATGTAAAGGACAAGTTCCTAATTCTATATAATAAATGCCTAATATGTTAAGTGTCTGGTCATCTGGTTGTCCATTCAACCTATCAAAGAATAATACCCTAATGATATGCTAAGGCCGCTCAACCACTCACTATGACGTGCATTGACCAGCAGGGAGCAGACGCTCCAACCTGTAGGTTAGCTTGCTGCTGGGGTCCAGCTGATTGGGACTGAGGGAGACAGGCTGGACGTGCCCTGGAGCCCTCCTGTGATTCCTCCCCTGCTGGCCAACCTCCTGTGTCCCTCCCTGGCCCTGATCATGCACCGTGGGGGTCCCTTGGCCTGGCCTGCACCCTCCTCCTCCCCCCCCCCCCCCCACACACACACACATACACCTGAGTGCACGAATTTCATGCACTGGGCCTCTAGTCGTTAAATATTAGAGCAACAGGGTCTTTGGGGAACATTGACTTCAAAGCCTTTTCTGGTGCTTTGGGGTCCAGAAAGTGAGTCAGTATGGATGAGGCTATGAGAAGTCCAACAAAGCATGGGCCTTTACCGTACAGTTTATTACAGTATTAGTTAGTTTCTACCATGACGGCGATAGGTAGGCCCTCTAAAGAAAACGTGTGGTGAGCCAAGGATGACAAAGGAGGGGCTAACAGGAGCTTCAGTGGGCAGCAAAGCTGACTCCATGGCTGTGTACCACATCCTCCTCAGGACTTAAAGATCGACCAGAAGACACCGCTGCGGGTCCTGCACCGGAGGCCCCTGGCTGTACGGAGTCGCATCATTCACGCCATGGAGGCGTGCTATGTGGATGAGCATCATTTCCGCCTCCAGCTGAAGACTCAGGCTGGGACGTATCCTTTCACCTTCTGCACAGCAATGATCTAACCCCAACCCTACTGGAAGGTTCAAAGGATCTAGGAGGGTAGGCCCAGGGTCAGGTTGGAGAAGATTCTTTTTTGTTTTGTTTTGTCTTGTTTGAGTGTTTTTCCCTCATTAAATTTTCAAAATGCCATTGTAAACCATGAGGCAGCAGCCAATCCAAAGTGCTGTAGTCTTAGCTTTAGTTTACTTTTCAAAGGTGCTCCTAGTTTTTGTTTCTTGGTTTTATAGTATTTTGTGACCTAGCATGAAATGACAAAATGCCTTCTAACTGGTATAAGATTAATGATATACTTTGGGATAGAAGAGGGAAAATGGTAATTTTTAAAATATATATATATTTTATTGATTTTACTCAGAGAGGAACTGAGAGGGACAGAGAGTTAGAAACGTCGATGAGAGAGAAACATCGACCAGCTGCCTCTTGCACACCCCCCACCGGGGATGTGCCCGCAACCAAGGTACATGCCCTTGACCGGAATTGAACCCGGGACATTTCAGTCCGCAGGCCGACACTCTATCCACGGAGCCAAACAGGTCCTGGCGAAATGGTAATTTTTAATCACCAAATAGCATTTGCACTAGAATGCTATAATTAGACTGCCTCTCCTTCCCCACCAATCTCCTCACCTCTGTCTCCCTGTCCCACCCTAGCAGTGACCAGAGTTTCCCCCTAAAACAGGCATAGGTAACTTCTAAAATCTCTGAAGTTTTTACCATTTACATACAACAAAGGGTGGTCTATTCAGTGGGCAGATGTTTGTAATTTTGTTATTTGGAGCATATCTGCCCATTACAGATGGCATGTGGATGGGATTTCAAAGAAATTACAGTTCTTTAAAAAAAAAAAAAAAAATCCTTTCTACCTAAACTCAGCTTTAGTTTTGTGTGCTTACCCTGTTTCCCCGAAAATAAGACAGTATCTTATATTAATTTTTTTCTCCCAAAGTTGCACTAGGTCTTATTTTCAGGGGATGTCTTATTTTCGGGGAAACACGGTAGAGAGCAATGCAGTGGTTTTTTGAAGAAGCTAATATCTTTTTTAATCTCATTAGCTGTTTTTAGAACTAACCATCTACATGTAACTTAAGGCATTAGCCAAGACAGACTGGCAAAGCTTTAGATACCATGTGGTTATACCCAGAAATATATGTTTTTCACAGATATTGCTCATTTGACTTACACTTCATCCCTCAGGGTATGATTATCAAGGTTATAGTAGTCCTATATAAGGAATGTTAATATAATCTTATTAATAACTAATTTTAGGATTAGTCATTGACTTCAAAATTTGAAGACCCATGAGTAAAGCACAAAGTTGCCCCTGTAAAAAAAAAAAAAGAGAGAGCAAGAGAGAGAATTTACTTAATCCCTTTGCTAACCATGTTGGCAAAACAGATGTCAAAATGGAACTTGTGGCAAAGAAACAATAGCTGAGATTAAAAAAATAATAATAAAATTAAATGCCCTATGTTTCTCCTTAAACAAACCCCAGCTACATTAAAGAGTTTGTACATGGAGACTTTGGGAGAACCAGGCCGAACCTTGGCTCCCTGATGAATGTGACTGCAGACATTCTTGAGCTGGACGTTGAGGTAAACCATTTTATCGTGGAAATGCCCATGTGCCCCTTGAATTCAAAGATATGCTTTTTCGGCATGAGGCCAAATAGTACTGCTTACCTTAAGAGGTGTTTGAAAATGATCAAAATCACACAATAGCTTTATATTGCAGGGAGGGTCTATCTGGGAATTTTTATGTCTTTAAAAACCCCCACAAGATCTCATTTATGACCCTTGAAAAAATATATAGCTAACTTATTAATTGTTCTTTACATATGGCATGAGATCTAAACCCTTCAACCAAGCAAAGAAATGAGGTTGTAAATGCCTTTCATATGTCCTTTGGATTCTATAGTTCATTCCCATAGCAATTTTGTCTTTTATAGAATTTAAGGCAAACTACTGAGAAATGTATGTTCAGGACAGGGGTAGAAAATGGGTTGAACCCATGGTTATTAATAAAAGCAGTTCTATAAGGGAACCTTGTGATGCGGACCAAATTCTCCACTCTTATAATCTGAATTGAAACAAGGTTAAATTTGTAAATAATTAGAAAAGTGGACAGAGTGGATCTTTCAGGAAGTTCTCCATTATTTTTCTCTTTTGAGCAGCAGTAGGAATTGAGTCATAGGTTGTGCTCCTTGGAATACAGCCCTTTCCCACCCCCACAACAAACATTTTAGGAGATGCTAACATTTCTTACTTGGAAATTGTATCTGGTATAGTATAAAAAGTGGGTAGAATTGCCCAGTGTGAAAGCAGCTATGGCAATCAGGTGAGCCCTGGAACACTATTACCTCACCAGCAGGTCTCCTGAGTGCTTTCAGACTGGATCTCATACAGCTCAGCCAGTGACAACATCTTCAAGGCCGCAGGGAGCCTCCTCAGGGAAACACCGTCATTCTGACGAAGACAACCGTCTGTTAAAGGAAATCCCAGCTGTGTTGTCTTCTTTACCTTCTCAGAACAGCTTAGGAGTGTCAGAAGAGCCACAGGCCAGTGTTTCTCAGCCCTGATTGTTCAATAGAATCACCTGTAGAGTTTTTCAACCTTACAACATACCTGCCCTCTCTGGCCCTCAACACACAAGATTGTGAACAGTGATCTTTAGTTTTCAGGCTTGAGAAACTACCTGTTAACTTACATATGGGTGTTGGGCATATGGCTATATTCTCAAATAGAACCCAATTATTTCCTTGAGATTTATAAAAGAACACACACACATATATGCAATAGTTATTTGGGGTTTTCTAATATTTTCTGAATATGGTATGTGAAGTGACTCAGATTAATTTGAAAATCATTTTTTAGCAAATTAGTTCACGTTTTATAGTTTAAGTTTCAAACAACAGGTACAGTGGATTTTTTTTTTTTTTTTTTTTAAAGAAACGTTCCCCCAAATGGAGCCCTCTAGGGTAGTTAGGACAAAGTGCAATTTCGTACTTCTAAGGCCTGGAATGTGGCACAGAATAGTCTGGTACTATAATTTCATTATGACTTGAAGCTCAAGGTTTTGTTTTAGAAGAGCCAGACCAGGTGAGTAGAAATATGGGAACATGAAAATGACCAAAAGAGTAAAAGCAGCTGAGACTTCTCAGGGAAAATAGGTATTGCCACCTGAACTTCTTTGTTAGTTACCCATAAATAACATTAAAAAATTTTCAGTGTACTCTAGTCTATCAGTCAACAGGCACAATGAATAATCAGCTGAGTAACAGAATGCTCAATAAATTCAGCAACAGACTGCAGGCCCAAGAATCCCAGATCCCAGAAGGTTCCAGAGTGTTAAATTGCATTCATTATTTCTTATTCATTATTGCATTCATTAATGCAGTATCTTCTGTCATAGTAAATTAGAGGCCTGGTGCACGGAATTTGTGCACTGGGTTGGGGAGGAAAGTCCCTCAGCCAGCCTGCGCCATCTCGCAGACCCCTCAGGTCTGAGACCCCCCAGGGGATGTCTGGGATCTCTTGTTCCTTACCGCCTGCCTGCTCGCTCCTACTGCTCGGCTCACTGCTTCTTAGCGGCAGGCTCCTTACAGCTTGGCTGGCTGCTCCTTAGCACCGCCACAGAGGCAGGAGAGGCTCCCATTTGGTTGTTTGGTTGTTCGGCCTTAACCGTCACTTAGGCTTTTATTATATAGACTAGAGGCCTGGTGCACGAATTCGTGCACATTGAAAGGAAATTAGTTAGAAGGTGGCTTGCAGGGCGGGACTGGGCGAAATGGGCCAGACATGCCCTGGAGCCAGCCTCCCTGGCTGGCCGCACTTGGGGTGGTGCTGGGGCTCGAAGGGCATCTGCGGAGTGAGCGGGGTCCCTCCAGCAGGTGGACTCTCTTGGCCTGGCCTGCGGGGACTGGGCCAAAACCGGCAGTCTGACATCCCCAAGGAGTCCCAGAGTGCGAGAGGGCATTTTGCAAAGTTGTCGCCCGGCAGCTCCTGCATTGAGCATCTGCCCCCTGGTAGTCGATGCGCATTATAGCTACCGGTCTGTCAGCTGGTTGGCCAGTCACTTAGCTTTAGATTAGAAGTCTTAACTTACACAGTGTCATCAGCAATTGCTTCCTGGAACAGGAATATGTTTTAATGACTTGTTTTCTTCCTTCCAGTCTGTAGATGTTGACTGGCCCCCTGCTCTGGACGACTAGCTTTCAAGTTTGGAAACGGAGCAGGGTTCTCGTGGCCCGACATGGACATCCATTCTGCATACATTGTACAGCGGCTGTTTACCCACCATAAGGGTGTCTTGGCAACTGTTTGGATCATGTTGATCTATTTATTTTTAAACTTATAACATCTCAGGATCCATATACAGTATGTGTAGAATGCGTGCTATGTTGTTCTAAGGATGTCTTATGATTTTTCTTGTTCCCTCGCCAACCCCCCACAAGTCCAACTAGGAATTATGAAACCATTCCCTATATTCATTCTCCCATTTAGAGAGGCGCACAAACAGGATACATTCTCTGATAATCTCAAGAAGCTGTAATTTGTTTCAGCAAAACTTCCCTTCACAAGAGAATCACCACTTTTAAAATCATGTTCTAAATTTTTAAAAACAATGTTGATAAGTTATGTCTATATTTATGCAGCACAGTATCTTATAATAAGATACCAAATGCAAATCTGACACCATTAATATTTTTCCCAGTAAGCTTCTAGCAAGCTGTTACCAATAGAAGTACTCTTGGTGTGATTTGTCACAAATGCTAATGACTTCAAATTACTCTTTTGACAATCTAAAATTGTCAATGCCTTTCCTCAAGAGGGAAAGTAAAACCTTAGGAACCGAGGTAAAAGACTTTCATAAATCTTTTAAAGAAGGAGACACAAGTGCCTTCAAAAACTTCATTGCCAGGGATAAGATTTTGAAAAATTGAGATTGCCAAACAAAGGAAAGCTGTTACTATTATAGAGGGCTTCAATATATTATCTAACCTCAAACATCCTCATCAGGTAGATGGGATATTATCATCTCCATTTTATAAATATGAAAACCAAAGATAACAGTTAAATTATTTATCTAAAATTGTTAGTTACTTCCATGCCTAAGACCAAAACTTGTTTCCTGGTCTATAGGCCCTTTCTAGTAAACCTATTATTGAGCACATACTGTGTGAAGGAGGCAGTTGAAGATGTCATTTTAATGCACATAACCATGAAAATTGACTTTTAGAATTTAGATGCCAACTCAAGGAGCTTACCCAAAAATAGCCCAAGTATATTTCATAGTATCTCATGATTACCATTTGCTAATAAGTTAGTCATCAGAACTATGAAGAAGCAAAAAAAAAAAAACCAAAACTTAGAGAAAACAGTTGAGTCATCAAGAGAAAACTTTCAGAAAGGAGTCTCATTAAAATTTCACACACAAGTGTCATTCCCATCACCCTGACTCAACTATCTGAGCTCAGAACACCTGTGACTTGGGTAGTATTGGATTACCCAGTTTCCTATTTCTCCATTCCCATAATTCACAGATACTAAGATGTATTATTTAAATTTTTTTTAAAAAAAATATATATTATTGAGTACAGAGAGGGAGAGGAAGAGAGAGATAGAAACATCATCTTTCTCCCCCCTTACTGGGGATAGAGCCTAAAACCCCAGCATATGACTTGATCAGGAATCAAACCTCAACCTGCTCAACGCTCCCCACTGAGCCACACCAGCCTGACAAGATGTGTTATTCACTTCAGAAATCAGGAAAATGGTTTTTCATGAAATTTCATTATGTGAATAATAGCAAATAACCCCCCCCCCCCCCATTATTTTCAATAAGCCAGAAAATGAGAAAGGGATAATAGAAATAAACTTTTGATAAAAAGGTAAGAACTTTTGCGTGAACGTTTCTCAGTTTCTGGGGAAATTTTGCTACAAAAAGACATTTAAATAATGCCAGCCTTTTGAATGTTTTTGGCTTGTCTTTGAATTCAGTGGATCTGCAAAATGGAAGAATTCAGAACCTCATTAGCTAGCATAAATTAGAAGACTTTTATTTCTTAAATTTTTGTTCCTGAGGTTATGCAAAATTTCGAGCAAAGAGTAAATTTTAGTTGTAAATACTTATTTCAAAAGTTCATATAATAATTATGAGATAGAGGCTAAATTAATATAGGTTTTTGTGCAAAACTGAAAACATTAGGTAATGTTTTATAGTTGCACTTTTGCCTGTATAAAAATATTTTAAAATTAGTTTTGTGATCTCCTACAGCTTTGTTTAAATCTTTTAAATAACACTAAGTGAAAGGACCTTTTGTACTTCTTAGCATCTATTTGTCCCAAATATAGTCTGTGGTTTAGTTTAGGAAAAACATCAACTCTAAATACCTGGAAAAGTAAAAAATAAAGTTGGTAAAATTAAAAATTTCCTCAATAAGATTAACTACTTACATTTGTAAATTATGTGAAATAAACTTAGAAGTTAAACTTCCATTTCCAAAGAGAAAAACTCTTTACTTAGGTAGATATTTTCTTTTGGAGCTTCCTTCTTTGATTTTTACATCCATATAAAAGAATGAATTTTGAGGTAAGCTTTTCTGAGTTGATTTTTTTAAAAATGGTACCTTTTCAAAAATTATGAAAAAATACTTTCAATTTCAAATTTACAGGAAAGTTGCAAGAAAAGTGCAAAGAAACTTCTTTCCTGAACCATTGAGCCAGTGATGCCCTATCACCCCAAATACAATAGTGAGTAATTCCTATAAGCAAGGACGTTGTTCTACTTCAGTCGTCACAATATCATGATCGAAGTCAGGAATTAATCTGATGCTGCACAGTTGAGGGATCATAGTTTAGTCTCCATGAATCTAAAAACAGTTCCTCTTTCCTTGACTTTCATTATTTTAACACTTTGAAGATTTCAGGCCAATTGTTCCTCAATTTGTGTTTGCCTGATATTTCATGAATAGATTCAGGTTGTACTTTTCTAACAAGAACACCATAGAAAGAGATAGTATCTTCTTCTTGCAAGTGTCACAGTTTTGGCTTGTGCTGTTAACCAATGATTAGATTTCTTTCAGTTAATGAGGTAGTGTCTATGAAGCTCTTCCACTCTTCTTTCCCTTTAATAAATATCGAAAAGAGTGACATCACACTTCCACTTTTTAGTATTAGCATTCATTGAAGATTTCCAACAGAATCCATTATTACAATGATTGTCAAATACTCATTTTCTAATTCCTGTTATATTCTTTGGTTGGCATTGGTAAGTTCTATATTAAATAGAACTTTTCCTGTGTATTCATGGCTTCCTGTTTTATTCAATCAGTTATAATTTATTACTGCTGTTTACTTTATTTCTAAGTACTGATTTCATCAGGGGATGCCCCACCAAGCTGAGTCCTGAAAGTGCAACTATAAAACATTACCTAATGTTTTCAGTTTTGCATAAAAACCTATATTAATTTAGCCTCTATCTCATAATTATTATATTTTCTTGGAGAATGTTCTTTATTATTATTATTATTATTTTTTTGAATGCTGTTGCTTTAATACAAAAAAACTTTCCAAGCTCATCTTGTATTTCACCTGCACCAGCCCTAGTGTGGGCTATTTCACTAAGAGGAACTAGTTTCTTTTAGTAGAAAATGGGTTTATAAACCAAAATACGGGCAGTAGGTCTGCTCATTGCTATTGTGGTATCAGTGCTCCCAAGCCCTCGCATGGCATGCACACACACTCATGCTTACCTCTGCAATTTTTATTTATTTTTTTTACATATACTGAACACTATGAATTATACCACTATTTCCAATTCCAACCATAATTCTAGTTCTCTTTCCCTTTCCATGTTTGCCATTTCTTTCACTGAGAGTGAGAAATCTGGCTCCCATTAGCTTTAATATATTAGCTTAACAGATCAGTCCCCCTCAAAGGTGGTCTCCTGGATCACTGAGACTCCCACTAACCCCAGGTGTTCCCCTCGGGCTCTGCACACCAATTGCACACCAGGTCACCATCTTCACTCGCTGGGGTTAATACCTACCTGTGCCTTGCTCAGAATGAGTGAACGACTTTTGTTCTCAGTTATTCAGGAAGGAAACCGGCAGGAAATCAATCAGGCAGAAAATAGAAGTCTTTTTAAAAGGCATTTCAGTACTCTACAAAATTATCTGTCATTTCAAAGGACAGTTACATATGCAAGTATATTCTGCTGCAACATTCCATTAAAATGCCTACTGTTGACGAAACCGGTTTGGCTCAGTGGATAGAATGTCGGCCTGCGGACTGAAGGGTCCCGGGTTTGATTCCGGTCAAGGGCATGTACCTTGGTTGGGAGCACATCCACAGTAGGGGGTGTGTATGAGGCAGCTGATCGATGCTTCTCTCTCATCGATGTTTTTTTTTTTTTTAATATATATTTTAATGAATTTTTACAGAGAGGAAGAGAGGGATAGAGAGTTAGAAACATTGATGAGAGAAGCATCGATCAGCTGCCTCTTGCACACCCCATACTGGGGATGTGCTCCTTTTGGTCCGCAGGCCAATGCTCTATCCACTGAGCCAAACCGGTTTTGGCTCTCATTGATGTTTTTAACTCTCTATCCCTCTCTCTTCCTCTCTGTAAAAAAACAATAAAATATATTTTAAAGAATAAATAAAAATAAAATGACTGTTTCTAAGCAACCCAAGCTAGCTTTCTCGGAGAGGAAGATGCTACAAATACAAAGAACATCTCGTTGATATTTTTAAAGTTAAATAGCAACACATTTTAATAAGGGGTTTTAGAATTTTTTTTTCCATTTATTATGTTACCAAGAAAAAAACTATATACAAAGATATTACTAAGATAATATTCTGTACAATGAAAGACAATTTGCCAGTTTTAAAATAACTGCATGTTGATACCACGTTTAACAATTAAATAATTAACAGTACCTGAGAACTTTTAAAAATTAGAACAGTAAAAAAATATAATGGATCCATCATAAACAGAAGCATTTCTAAGTACATTCTTTTGAAACAGAGATCTTTTCTAAAGGGTGCATGTGGTCTGAACCACGCATTTAAGAGGGTTTATTGAGGGACTTAATACTTTGAAAACTTTGTTGTTTCCTTTCCATTTCATCTTAAAGCTACCTGCACTGTGTACCGGTGACCACACTTTCAGCCAATCATCCAGTAAAATCAAGTGTGTCATCAATGA